ACGTCAGATACGAATTGGAAAATATTGGTCAAATGTTTCGGAATATAGTGGGTCAACAGTTAGAATAATCATAACTCAAGTCTGGGGGTATACATTTGAGGGCAAAACCGATTTATACATTTAACTAGTTTTTTTAAAATAAATTAAGAGGGAATTGCGAAGCTTTCACCTTGGAGTTTTAAAGATTTTTTCGTCAGAGATTCAAAGGTGTATTTTTAAGAAGTACTTTAAGAGCGGATTTCAAATATTGTTTGTAATGTTTTTAGAGACACTTTCAAAGCTGCAAGTTTGGATTTTTAAAATTATTTTTGGAGGAATTTTTAAAAATATGATTTTCGTTGCGACAAGAAAAGATTTTTAACAAAAAAATTAAAGGGAAATTTGAACCTACAAACGGTATCTAAAACAAATACTCTTAAGAAGACATCCAGTGCTCCAACCTAGAATTTTTAAAAATACGTGGATTTTTCTAAGATTTTTTTATGAGGACAATCAGAGACTATCAAAGCCATCAATTTGAATTTTACTAAGAAAATTTGTAGAATCCCAAACTCCCATCTCTGGTTTCAAGTCACATTCGTTTTCTAATGTTCCTTTATTCACTGTTTAACAGCAACTTCTATCTTTTTTTTTTTTTGTAACAATGAAAGTAAAGCTTACACGCGCCAATAGATATTTGCACACACATACACACACACATTCACTCATATTCATCTAATGCGAAAATAATTGTTTTGTTACAAATATGGCCAGCCAGTCAGCCACTCAGCCATTTGACGTTTACCAGCCAACGTTTACATTTCACTCAAAACGAGGCATGTGGCAAAAATGTTGCTGCCTCAGGCATTTGGTTTTAAGTTCGAACCCCCCTTCCTTCTTCTCGATATGGCAGTGCAATTAATTTACTTTTGATAATTATAAAATAACATAATTTGTTAATGTCTTGTGCAGTCGAATGGAAATATGAAAGCACAAACAAAGCAAAAAATGCCGCACAGAAATGCTGGTATTTCATGCTATGATTGTGTTGTTTTTTTTTGTTTAATAGAAATGTGAAAATATTAAGTTCCAATATTTGCAGAAAGAAAATAAAATTAGTTTGTGGATATAGTTATTAGTTGAGAGTTCATTAGCTTTTGAACTGAAAATATGATAATGGGGAGGAAGGCATATGTTTTGAAGCAGGTCGAAAGGTGCTGTGAATATTTAAGAAGATCATTAATATTTGCAGAAAGTTTGTGGAACAGCAGAGTTGGGAGTTCAAGTTTGAAGATGGCCTTTTGAAGAATTATTCTCAAAAAAAAAAAAAATCACATTTATAGCTTGGATGATAGTCTTTAAAAATTCCCTATTTATAGCTTGGGAATCCTTGAAAAATATTCTATAAAAATCCCCTTTTTTAGTGATTTTCTGAATATTTTTTTGTACTCCCACTGTCCCGCAGGAGTCTTTGGCTCGTTGTACAGAAGAAGTCTTGGTTGATAAGGGTTCAGAACAGCATTGAGTTATAAATGTTATCTAGAAAATATGTATTGTTTTAACAAAGTGACACGTTGGGCGCCATTTTCTTGTAGTCGATATAAATTCAACGCGTTTTGGAAGGCTTTGTTTTAAATAACCTGTTAGAAGACAATCATAATGGAGTTCAGTCTGTTGAACTCTATTTGAAAAGAGTACCACGTTGGGCGCCATTTCTTAAAGTAAATATTGATTTATGCGGTTTCAGATCTCCATGGCTTGATAATTTGTCTAGAAGATCGTAATAACAGAAGCCTGTATGTGTTCAAGGCTTTGTCCATAACATTCATTCATGAGGTTTTAAGAAATAAAGTATATTTACATTGAAGTGGTGGTCATAACGAATGTTTGTATGCCCATGGCCCATGTTGGGCGCCATTTACAGAAAATATATTTTCACACAATTTAAGAAGACAATTTTGAGGAAATCTCAGCCTTAGGACATACGTAGTATGAGTGGTAAAAAACACTTATTTATTTGAAATTAGTCGCACGATTCCCGATTGTTCATATTGACATCCTAAACGTCGGATTCCCTATCATCAACAGAACAAAAATATTTTTTAGATTTTTTTTTTTTTGGAAAAAAAAAAGAATTTCTAAAAATGTATTCTTCATTAGAAAACAAAAAATTAAAAAATAATGCTAAGAAATCCTCGTCTGGAAGTCTTTGAAACTCCACGATTGGAACTCTGGAAGTCCTTGAAAAAAAATGAAATAATTTTTTTTCTAAAAAAATAAGTATCTGAAAGTCCTTGAAAAAAATATTCTTTAAAAATCCACGTCTGGAAGTCCTTGAAAAAAATATTTTTTTAAAATCCACGATTGGAACTCTGGAATATAAGTAAAAAAAAGAAGTGTCTGAAAATCCTTGAAAAAAAAATATTTTTTTAAAAATCCACGATTGGAACTCTGGAATATAAGTAAAAAAAAGAAGTGTCTGAAAGTCCTTGAAAAAAAAATATTTTTTAAAAATCCACGATTGAAACTCTGGAATATAAGTAAAAAAAAGAAGTGTCTGAAAGTCCTTGAAAAAAAAAATATTTATTTGAAAAAAAAAATATTTTTTAAAAATCCACGTCTGGAAGTCCTTGAAAAAAGAAATATTTTTTAAAAATCCACGTCTGGAAGTCTTTGAAAAAAGAAATATTTTTTAAAAATCCACGTCTGGAAGTCCTTGAAAAAAAAAAATATTTTTTAAAAATCCACGTCTGGAAGTCTTTGAAAAAAGAAATATTTTTTAAAAATCCACGTCTGGAAGTCCTTGAAAAAAATATTTTTTAAAAATCCACGTCTGGAAGTCCTTGAAAAAAAAAATATTTTTTAAAAATCCACGTCTGGAAGTCCTTAAAAAAATATTTTTAAAAATCCACGTCTGGAAGTCCTTGAAAAAAAAATATTTTTTTAAAAATCCACGTCTGGAAGTCCTTAAACAAATATTTTTTAAAAATCCACTTCTGGAAATCCTTAAAAAATATTTTTTAAAAATCCACGTCTGGAAGTCCTTGAAAAAAATATTTTTTAAAAATCCACGTCTGGAAGTCCTTGAAAAAAATATTTTTTAAAAATCCACGTCTGGAAGTCCTTAAAAAAATATTTTTTAAAAATCCACGTCTGGAAGTCCTTAAAAAAATATTTTTTAAAAATCAACGTCTGGAAGTCCTTGAAAAAAATATTTTTTTGAAAATCCACGTCTGGAAGTCCTTAAAAATTTTTTTTTTAAATCCACGTCTGGAAGTCCTTAAAAAAATATTTTGTTTAAATCCACGTGTGGAAGTCCTTAAAAAATATTTTTTTTTTTAAATCCACGTCTGGAAGTCCTTAAAAAAATATTTTTTAAAAATCCACGTCCGGAAATCCTTAAAAAAAATATTTTTTTAAAAATCCACGTTTGGAGGTCTGGAAATCCTTGAAAAAATATTTTTTAAAAATCCACGTTTGGAGGTCTGGAAATCCTTGAAAAAATATTTTTTAAAAATCCACGTTTGGAGGTTTGGAAATCCTTGAAAAAATATTTTTTAAAAGTCCACGTTTGGAGGTCTGGAAATCCTTGAAAAAATATTTTTTTAAAAATCCACGTTTGGAGGTTTGGAAATCCTTGAAAAAAATATTTTTTAAAAGTCCACGTTTGGAGGTCTGGAAATCCTTGAAAAATTATTTAAAAAATTCACGATTAGATGTTGAATAAATACTCTTTAAAAGTTCACGTTTGGAGGTCTGGAAAGCGTTTAAAAAAATATTTTTTAAAAATCCACGTCTGGAAGTCCTTAAAATTTTTTTTTTTTTAAATCCACGTCTGGAAGTCCTTAAAAAAATATTTTGTTTAAATCCACGTGTGGAAGTCCTTAAAAAACATTTTTTTTTAAATCCACGTCTGGAAGTCCTTGAAAAAATATTTTTTAAAAATCCACGTTTGGAGGTCTGGAAATCCTTGAAAAAATATTTTTTAAAAATCCACGTTTGGAGGTCTGGAAATCCTTGAAAAAATATTTTTTTAAAAATCCACGTTTGGAGGTCTGGAAATCCTTGAAAAAGTATTTTTTAAAAATCCACGTTTGGAGGTCTGGAAATCCTTGAAAAAATATTTTTTAAAAATCCACGTTTGGAGGTCTGGAAATCCTTGAAAAATTATTTAAAAAATTCACGATTAGATGTTGAATAAATACTCTTTAAAAGTTCACGTTTGGAGGTCTGGAAAGCGTTTAAAAAAATATTCTGTAAAAATCCACGTTTGAAGCAGTGGAAGTCCCTGAATAAATATTCTTTAGTCCTTGAAAAATATTCTTTAAAAATCCACGTTTGGAAGTCTTTGAAAAAATATTCTTTAAAAATCCACTTCTGGAAGTCCTTGAAGAAATATTCTTTAATCCTGAAAAAATATTCTTTAAAAATCCACGTCTGGAAGTCCCCGAAAAATTATTCTTTAGTCCTTGAAAAAATATTTTTTAAAAATCCACGTTTGGAAGTCTGTAAGTCCTTGAAAAAAAATTTTTTTAAGAATCCACGTTTGGAGGTCTGGTAGACCTTTGAAAAAAATGTCCTTAAAAATCCACTTTTGAAGATCTGGAAGGCGTTAGGACGTCTCAGAGTCCTTGAAAAAATCCACGTTTATAGGTCTGGAAGTCCTTGAAAAAACATCCTTCAAAGGTACACGTTTTAAGACCTTTAGAATTTACTCTTTAAAGTCCCACTTTTGGAAGGCTGGAAGTCCTCGAAAAATTATTCTACAAAAATCTACGTTTAGAGATCTGAAGGTCCTTTGCGGGTCTGAAGGTCCTTAACAAATATTATTTAAAAAACCAAAAAAGATATATTCTCTCCTCCTCTAGTAAAGTTTTTCTCCTCTCCTGTTTTTACTGACAATGACCAAATGCTATTTTCGTTGCCAAAAATAAATCTTCAAGGTTATGACAGAACTTTGACAGCTGTTCTCCCGCTCACTTTCAATATTTAAAATTTTTGTTTTCTTTTTTCATTTTCAGTTACCAAATTAGCTCCCCAATATGATGTCATCGTCATCATCAACGACAGCAACAACATCCTATACAACGTCATATCCCCAAATAGACCATCGAACTGTGGTCTTTAAAAATTTACAGCTGGAAGAGAACCAAGCAGCCAACCTTAGCCGTAGCAGCAGCAAAGAGACCCTCATTCCTGGCGATATACCGAACGAAGAGAATTGCCCAAACGTTGCAACATTGCCACGGAGACCTGCAACGGTTTTGCAAACCTCAACACCTTACGTTTCACCGAGACGTCCGCTGTCCGCCTTGGCCCTACACTCCACAACTAAGACCCGAATTCCATATCCATTGGCAACAATTTGGACCAAAAGCCAGAGTGGCAGGAAAAATACGTTCCAATTCAGAGGTAACGCGAACATCAACAACCACAACAATAGCTGTGACAATTGTCGTAAGAGCGGTGTTGGTGATGTGCCACTGCGCATGTCCGCTTACAAATCCAATTTAGCAACATCGCTCATTATGGAACGTGTGGCAAATGAAACTTCCTCAGCCGTGGCAGCGGCAGCAGCAGCAGCAGGGGTGGAATGCACCACAACAAACACCCACAACAACACAACGACGGCAAACGCGAACATAACCGGTGGTCGTTTTCAAACAATACGCCGTAAATTGGCTTTAATCACTCAGAAGCCTTCGTCGGATGCAACATTGGAACGGTCATTATCCTTGCGTAAAAATTTCAAATATTCCAACAAAACGGAGGCGGTAGAAGGAAACCCGAAAATCAGCACCACGGAGACAAATAATTCCACATCCAAATCGGTAACGGGAGGCCAGGATGGACAACAGCAGCAGCAGGATATTGGTTCAACAAAAATTGACACCGTGGCCAAGGATCAATCAATAAAATCCACAATAAAAACAAACATGGAAAAACAGGCATCGTCATCCCCAACAACAACAGGAACAACCACAACGACAACAGATGGATTTGTTAATGGCGAAATACGGGAAGATTTTCAGAAAATGGTAAGTCTCAAAATATGTCCTTGTAAATTATCCTCTTTACGTTTTGGTGTGAAAGGAGTTACATAAACCCAGTGATAAGCTTCTTCTTTTGGAGTTCGGTATTGATTTTCTTCTCCAAAAAAAACTGTTGGTATATATGGTGTTCTTGTGGTTTTTGTTGTTGTAGAAACGAAGCAACTTCATAACTATCTTCGCCCTCGTTTTGTTTTTGGATTTTGTGTTCCTTTTTGTTTTTCATCGTGTCCTGCTAAATTTGTTTGTTCCACTTTTTCCGCCTTTACTACGTGATTATGCGTTAACCCACCACCCACCCTTTTCGTTGCTCTTCTTGGGGTTTGTTTTTATCGTATGTTTCGTAGTTTTTTGGAATTGTAAAAAATAAGGGTGGGGTATTGCTCAAACCAGATGTGCAATGCTTAAAGGCTTGCCAACAGTGGTGTCAAATGTTCTGAAAAAAATTCGCGATTAAAAATCTAGCAGTTTCTCAAAATAATTTAGTTCAAATTTAAATTAAAATTTTAATAACAGGGGTAATAGTCAAATGTACAACCACCAAAGGCTTTTCAGCATTGGTGTCAAATTGTGACAACATTTTTTCTTCAAAAATCAAAACTAAATCATTCAAAAATTTCCAAGAATTTCAAAAACATTTTGGGCATTTATATTTTTTTGTATATTAGTTGAATTTATGTATTTGAGCCTTTATAGCCTGTAATATGTGCGTTGGGCGCCAAATTTGCTGGAAATAACAACATTCAATATTTTCCAAAAACGCATGACAACAGAAATTGTAAACATTTTTAAGTGGTTTTAATGACCTCGACCATCTAGTTTTGGGTGGTAATACCGATTTCCTAATGACAAAGTGTCCTTCTGTTGGGCGCCATTTTCATTAGTAATTCTCAAAACATTCTGTTCTTTTTATTTTTGCTGTGTCTTGAAAAGTCTTGGAAATTTGTTTACGAGAAACCAGAATTATAATTTGTATGATCCTGACAAAAAAAAAGGTTTGAAAACATTCCGATTTATGATACTTAAAAAAATATATATTTAAAAATTTTTCGTTTAATAAATAGATCGGATGGTCTTCAAAAAAAAGCATACGATTATACCTTGGATGGTCTTTATAAAATGTTTTTACCCATACACATTACAGTTTGAATTGTTCTCGGTACAAAAAATCGACATCCACATTGGGCGTCAAAATTCTAGAAAATACCAAAATTAAAAAAATTTCGATGGAAGTTGGGCGCCATTTCCACGCTAATTTTAAACAACGTTTTGACCTTTTATTTGTTTTGACTAAATACCTTGAGTGAATATAACTGCACCTAAATAGCCTTCTTAAATGTTGAAAACCTAAACGGAATGTAAAAAGTGTTTCGCACGATGGGCGCTCGTTGTATACATATACCTAAATTTATAGAAAATATCAAAACTGATGAGACTAATGTGGTTTTTCAACAATTTTGTGGTTGTTATCAAAAAAAGGTTTCTTCAAAAATCTACTCTTAAACTCCAACAGTTTTTCAAATACTTTCTTTAAAAGCCTCTAATTAATTTTAATCGAATTGGTCTAAGCAAATATATCTGAAAATAAATAGGTGTTGAAAGTACAAAAACTCAATTTTGATTAAAAAATCTATTTACGTTGGGCGCCAAATTTTTAGAAAATAAGAAATTTAAATATTCTTCAAAGTAGCATCACATACATTTCCGAATGAAAAAAATGTCTCTCACTTGGGCACCATTTTTATTATTTTATAATTTTAAAAACGTTTTGTCCTTTTTTTGTTGGTGTGTCTTGGGTTATCCTCGCAAAAATCCTATTTCGGGCGCCATTTTCATTATTTTTTAATTTTAAAATTATCCTCACAAAAATCCTATTTAAAAAACCTGGATTATAGCTTAAATGCTCCCACGTTGGGCGCCAAAAGAGTCCAAAATATCAAAACGAAGTATGTTGGTTTATGTATTTTCAATTTTTATTGGTCTTAAGAGTATCACTTTTTCAATTCCCATAAGTCGCCATATTGTAAAAAACTGTTAAGTGCAGAAATAGCTCTGACGATCCTTAAAGACTTTCTTTTTATTATTCAAAATTTTTCTTCTTTCAAGAAATGTAAATCTTCAATTATAACTCTGAGGTGCCACCTTGCCTTGTTATAACTTCCCCATAGCATAGAGGGTGTATTAAGTTAGTCATTCCGTTTGAAACACCTCGAAGTATACATTTTAGACCCCACAAATTATATATATTCCTGATCAGCATAAAATTCTATGTCGATTTGCCGATGTCCGTCCTTTTGCCTGTCCGCCTGTGGATATCACTATAGCTTCCGAACGAATTGAAGTAGGTTGATAAAATTTTACTCAGATGTGTCTTTGGTCTGCAGGACTTTTTGTATTAAAAATGGACTATGTTATAACTGTACCTCCCTATATCCTGTATTTTGATGCTTTTGCCGACAATTTTTCACTGAAATTATTTACTTTTTAAGGGGTATTTACAGTTTTTAACGGGTTTAAAGCCTTCGACAGGAAATGGTTTGTGCAGGTCCTATAGCCCCTATATAACAGTACCTCTCTATATTTGGTATTTTGATGATTTCAGCGACATTATTCACCGGAATTATATCAAATCTTGTATTTGAAGTTCCTAATAGGTTTAACAGTCTATGACAGAAATTTGTTTTTGCAGGTCATGGTCTTCGTATAGCCCTCAGTACTTCCCTATATTCGGTATTGTTTTATTCAGGATTATTGGTTGATAGTGTTTCAAAAATTGTATATAAAAATCATGGGTGTAGATCCAACAATTTTCTTGAAAATCCCCAACTGTAGCCTTTATGGTCCTTAAAAATGTTCTATCAACGACTTTATTTAAGTTTTCGATTCTAGCTTTTATCATCCTTAAAAAATTCACGATTATAGACTGAGGTCAAATTTTTTCTTCATCTAATGATCATTCAAATCATTCAAAAAATAAATAAATAGTTTCGGACTGTAGCCCTGATTAGCCGTTGAAATACTCTTTTCAAAAGTGCAAGAAAACTGCTCTGAAAGCCCTTCAAAATGTTTTAATACTCTGTGATTAAAACATTGATATTTCTCCCACGAAAGGAGGTTTTAACCCTTCAAACAACATGTGCTTAAACATTCCATAAAAATCCATTGAAGAAATGCATTCAAAAAACCTGATTATAGCTCTGACAAACCTTCCCAAAATGGTGCATAATTCCTTGAATATCGCTGCAAATAAAAGCTCTGAAGACCCTTTAATAAATTGTTAATTTTAAAATCTCAGATTAATGCTCTGGTAATCCATCCAAAAAACCAGTGCTTAAAATCATAGACTATAGCTCTGTTGGCCCTTTAAAATGATTCCAACAGAAGTCTAAATAAAAAGCCCTTTAAAGAGTTTTTGGTTAAAAAATCCTGATTAAAATACTGATTATTCATTCAAAACTCCCTCCTCCTCCTTCAAAATATTTTCTTTTAAAATCCAAAATAAAAGCTCTAAATATCCTATCAATTTTTATTAAAAAGTCCCTGATTATAACTATGGCAATCGTTTTAAAACCTTTCAGAAATTCTCCATTACAGCTGCTTTAATTTTTCTAAAAATCTATGATAAAATATCTGCAGGTCCTTCAGCAATTTTTATTTAAAAATCCTTGATTAAAGCTCTGCTCTAATCCTTCCAAAACACAGAGATTAAAAATACACGACTTTAGTTTAAATGGCTCTTTAAAAACTCTTCATCAAAAATCCAAGATAGCGGCTCTAAAGACCTATTGACATTTTATATTAAAAAGCCCTAATAATCCTTCTAAAATTGTGTTTAAAATCCTCAATTACAGATCGGATGGTCCTTCAAAAATTGGATTTTTTAAGTTTTAGATCAAAACTCAGATAATGCTTCCGAAATGGTATTTTGGAAGGGTTAAGGCGATTCTCATAAAAATTAATAAATCTTCGGTCATTGCTTGGATGATCCTTGAAAAAAGTCCTAAAATTTCACATTTAAAGGTTGTATGGTCCGAAAAATCGAAGGTTTTTACTTAGGAAGTCCTTGAAAACATTTCATAATTAGACTGTCCACAGTTTTTGTTGTCCTTGGAAATAATATTCTTGAAAAATGCAACATTTATAAATTGGATAGTTTTTAAAAAAATATTCCTTAAAAATCTACATAAAGGACGGTTCTTTAAAAATATCAGCTTTGAAGCTGGGATGGTCCATCCAAAAATTATTCTTTAAAAATCAACGCATATAGTTTGAAAAGCACTTGGAAAAATATTCCTTAAAAATTCAAGTTTATAGCCTGGATAGTCCGCAAATAATATGCTTTGAAAATCTACAGTTGAAGTTCTGATCCACTGTCCACTGTTTTAATTGGACTGTCCTTGGAAAAAATATTCTTGAAAAATCCAACGTTCATATCTTAAAAAATTTCCTAAAAAATCTGCATTTATAGCTTGGATGATCCTTAAAATAATGTTCATCAATGTCAAGCAATCAATGTCAGCTTTATAGTTTGAATGGTCCTTGGAAAAATTAAAATTAATAAAAAAAATCCATGTATATAGTTTGGAAGGCCCTTGGAAAAATATTCATTGAAATTCATGCTTATAGTGTGAAGGATCTTTAGAAAAAAAATATCCTTACAAATCAACGACGATATTTGGATAGCTTCTAAAATATATTTTAAAATTCCCAGTTGAAGTTCTAATGGTCCTTGAAATAAAAATTAGATTTAATAGCTCGGATTTCCTTGTAAAAATAGTATCTGAAAATCCTTGGATTGGATTGCCCCTGAAAATTATTTTTCAAAAATCCACATTTATGTCTTGGATGTTTCTTGAAAAAATGTACTTCAAGGTTCACTGATTCTAGCTCTGATTATCCTTTCAAAATTCTCTAAAAAAATCTATGTTCAACAAAGTTGAGAATTTATTTCTAATATTTGATAAAAAACGCTACATTGACAACATTGC